ATTATGCAAATTCGATAAATTATGTAACTTCGACCAACATTACCCGAAGCACATGATCTAAAATTAGAAAACACTAAATAATTTAAATTGGCCAGCATTAAAGAAATTAGTGATTTTGTATATCGAAAAAACAAAATTATGTGAAAAACAAAAATATTCAAACCAATTTGAATGTCTTGATAATGCGCGCAATTGATAGTAATTTTGAAATAAAGAATCGATTTTTTCTGGTTTTTGCTTATTGACGTAGAATTTACTCTTCAATTTCTATTCTCTCTATTCTTTAAAACTTCAAGATTTTAAAGTGTTATGTTATTGAAAACGCAAAGTACATGTATTGAATTCAATCTTCACTGTAGATATATTTTGATAAAGTGTGTTTTCTGGAATACATTTTTCTCAATAATAAATTTGCACAATCAGGAATGTAATTTGGTATGTAGGTCGTACTCCTTTATAAATATCGCACACGAAATATTTAGCACCAAATGATCGTTCACCAGTTACAATCTCGTACATATTCATAAATCTGCAGCGTTACGGCTTTCCATTTAGCACTTCTGGACTCATATAAGGAAGCACTCCACAAATTTCTTGGTTAGATCTTTTCTATAGGAATGTAAGTTCAAAATCAGAAAATGAGCTTTTATTTAGAAGAACAAAAATTGAAAAGTCCTGACCTTTCATTACAGGAAAGCCATGGCCTGTATTTTAGGCCAAAACGAAGTATTTGACATTCGATAAGAACACAAGAAGCACGCATCCACATTTTAATATAAGAATAAATTCTTTATTCTTCTCTTTTCAAAAAAAAAAAAAACCCCGAAAATTCTTTCATTCCATTCTTGCTTTCCTTATGATCAAATAACTCGTGAACAATTTGCAGCCTTTTTTCTAAAGAAACGGGATGTGGTATTGTTTTCTCTTTTGCATTTTTTTGACGACTCGCCATAATGTTCACAAATGACTTGTTTCATCATATGTTTGGTCCTTTTTGTTCAGTTTTGGCGACTTTATTTTTAAATTAATTTTTTTTAATGATTAAAATTATTTTTTATCAGAATCGCTGAATTACCGAATGTCCTGATCTACCAAAGAATTGTGTAAATATATTGAATGGTCGTTGTTTTCCCCTTTCAATCCTTCATCGTATCGATCACATAGACTGCGCTTCTTCTCATCATAAATTGATACCACGAGATATTTTAACAAAGTTTTTTCAATCTCTTTATCATCAGGAAAATGACAAGCATATCTGTACTGAATTTCTCTTGTATGATACAATCAAGCTTCTTCTCTACGTTACAACTTTGTTGCTTACAAGCTTCAATTGATTTTTGTTATTTCTTTCAAGTCATTTTACTTATATTTTAGATACTCTTGTTATTATTGCATTAAAAGCTTTTGCTTGTATACAAAAAAAATCCATTAAAAAGATATTTTAATCTTTTCTATAAATTCCATCAATTTCATATAAAAGTATTCAAATATTGGTGTAATTTCGAGAACTGGAATTTTTAGATAAGCTGTTGTTCGCATTAAAAATTAGACTTAAAAGTGTGCCGTGTTTTTTGTCTCACAAAATTCAATCCGATTTTAGTTAGTGAAAAAAAAAATAAATTATTGAAGGCATGGAATTAAAAGAATTTCCACATACCGATACTATAAATAATGATTATATCTTCGAATTTCCATAAAACGCATACACTCTCAAAGATATGAATTTGGTTTTATCCGAGAGTTCTGATTACGTAATGCACTGTATGTTATCGGAACATGTATTTCTCAATTCCGTAATTTTGCGTAAGTACATGTATAACCAATTTTTGTAATGCATGACAATGACAGTACATGCACTGCAAATTTTTTTTTGATCCCATTCCCATACGATAACGTCTCGATATAATTGTACAAATGAAACTGATTGTAATGTGCATTATACTTTCTCTTAGCCGACGTATTGACGAACAATCAAAGTGATTTTTATTATCATAAAATTTAAGTCAAACTAGAAATTTGAATGTATCCTCAAATCTGCCAAATTAAGAGCTTGTACACAATGATAATGCCATCAAAACTTTTTAAAAGCCCTACGCTCCAGATTCCGCTGATTGTAATACCATTCTACGTAGTTCAAGACAAGATTGTAACTGAGCAGAATAATACATGTGTGTTTCTTCATAAGAGTCATTGAGTTGTATAATTGTCTGAATCTACAGGTCTAAGATAATATTGAAATCCTTTTTTTATCGTCCTTATCCCAGTTTCACGGTATCGACCAAGATTGTAATCATTTTTTTTTATCATTATTTGTTCCATACTCATTTCATAACAAAAAACAAGATGATTTTGAAACTCCCGAATCTATCTCCTGCTTTTGCTGATTGTAGGCATTACTTAAAAACCGCTTTTCCATCTTTGTCCATATTCATAACAAATGCAAGATGGATTTTAAATCCCACTCGAATATTTTGCATCAAAATCGTTATTAGATCAATCAAATTGGGCGTTTGTGTTTCAAGATTCTGTTTTTTCTCATCAAAAATTGCGCTTTCGACTTTTTAATAAAATTCGTCTGTTAAATCAAAATCTGATAAATATGTAAAAATCTACACATAGTCGTGTTATCGTTATCTTCTAAATCTCATCTCGTTGATTTTTGACTCGAGAATGCATATGATAAATCTTTTTGTGATTATAGCCATCTGAAATTGATGTAATGAGTTTTCAAAAAGCATTCCCTTGAGGTAACATTCTTGCTTTGACAATCCTGTAGGCGCCCAGTGATTTATTTAGTATCCAGGAATTCTTGTTCGGGAAAATATTTTCTTCAAATTGGGAAGCTCGCGTTAATTTCGGAGATTTTTTTGAACGTTGAATTAATAATATCAACAATACCAATAGACAAATCTCCAACTATGAGTATCACAAGAGATATGCATGTGATTTTTTTTCATGCAAGTGATTTAATAAAATAGAAAATCATTGCCAAATACAATACATCCGAAGGCTCAATTATGCGCATCTTGTATGAATTTTGCCTTTTATGGGGGATAATTTTGTTAAATAGCTGTGGTGATACTTGTCGATCTTCAAGCTAAAGAATCAGCTCACTTTTAAAATCAGCTCACTTTTTTAAAATCAGCTCATTTTTAAAGTTGCATTTTGTGCACGAATGAGAGATCACAAAAAGATGATTAAATCTTCGATTCGAGTAGACACATCAAACGCACAGACGTTTATGCATCAATGCAATGTGCGCATGAAAAGTAAAGTATAAAAATAACCAGCAAAAAAATTATTAATCATTGTCTGACAAAGAGAGTAAGCTCCTTGCGCTCTTTTTCCGAGAAATTATTTGAAAATTTTCCCTTCTAAGCGAGTACAAGGATCTTTTCTTTCACGTAGATGTACTTATGCACGACGGTGCATCCAAATTAAACTTTTGTTTTGATAGTTGATAGACCAAAAAATTCACCAATGACTCCTCTCAAAATTTGTCCTCCACCATGTTTAGGTATTTGGGTAGCAAGCATTTAACCTTATATATACATACATAATGCAGTGAAATTATCTCCTGATATGAGAAGGAATTTTTCCGATTGGTATCTAGAAGTTAAGCGAGCAAGCATGTGTGGCGTGATACCTAAACTAGTGCAATTATAATCTGTGCTCGGTTCGTGATCACATGTATAAGAATACGCGAATTTTTAATCAACCCGGCAAAACAAATCCGGCGCAAAAAAAAAAAAAGGAAAACAGATATCAAAATCTAGCTTGGAGCATTATAAAAAATATCGGCGAGACAATTTTTACATGTAATCTTTTCCTCAGTTCTAAGTTTAATAGTTGCCGGCTCACGTATGATTCGCGCATTCTCATTGTGTGATTATCATGTGATCAGAAACTGAGCAAGTTTATAATTATATGATTACATGTATTTGTTTTTTTATTTATTAGAATTTCTAGATATAGAAGCTTCGAAACAAACAATTAATTATACCATATGAATTCAAAGTGTTGTAAAAGATTAGAACTCCCCCCCCCCCCGGACGGGATGTCCTCGATCTAATTAATTTTGAGTAATTTAATTGGTTACCATTTTTTCTTGGCTGAACAAAATACAATCGAAAACGCGAGAAATTGTCATCAACATTGGATGGTGGAGAAATATCGTAATTAACAAACAATTAATTTAGTGTGAGCTGCATAGAATTTTCGATGTTTGACTTAGGTAAGCAGTGCGAAATACATGGCAAAAAAAAATTTATTCCTAACCATTTTAAGAGTCGTCTTATTTATGAAAAAATATGACATAAGAATATATAAACGAAAAAAGACAAAGGCAAAACAATGGGGAGTCGAAGTTGCAAATGATTACTATGAGCTGAGTCATCACATATGTAAGTGATACGCAAGAAAAAACAATGGTATAAATATATTATATACTGTACATGTATATATATAAAAAATATAATAAAAAGTATAATATAAATATAATATAGTCATTTATATTAGCATTTATATAAAAATCTACTATCGATTGCAGGATTTTTGTAGCACTTATAAGAAGATCAAACCGCAAAGCATTTATCTAAAAACGAATGGACTCACGGTCTCGACCGCTCTCGACCACTTCTCGACCATAATAAACTCCAATCCTTTTTTCTTTATTTTTCCATAATTATTATACACTATTACTATACTTAACCACGACAACACAAACGGGAATTGATGAGTTTGCCGTCGCAGGAAGCAGATATGAGAAACCTTTGTGGTTAGTAATCGTGTACGAGTGTGTGTGTGTGGTTTGCACAGCAAAAAAAAAAGGATCGAAAATATTAGTAATTTTTTCCCCATTATTGAGTATATAGCATGATTATTATAATTTTTATAATTTTTTATAATAATAATAATAATTATTGCAATTATTACCTTTATATAATATTTTGGGGAATATTGGTAAAATTTGAGACATTCATTTTCACAAGGGCAAAATTATGCTTGTCCCAAAAAAAACCAAAAATACTGAGCGTGGCTTTGGTTTAGAAATTGGTGAGTGGGTGTTATGGTGGTGTATTATTATAGTTTACATACAAAAAAAAACTGACATCATGTGCGTGTGTGAATGACGGGTGGTTGCTTTTTATCATTAAATGCCATCATTATCCTTTGGGTGTTTTCAAAAATGTCATGCTATTGTGTGTGTAAAAGGAAAAAATGAATAACACAAGCTTTTTTCTAGACCGCGTTCTTTTTTTTGATCACCATCAATGACTCTTTTAAGATTATTTATTATTATCCTTTAACATAAGAGAATACGCGCATACACATGCACACATATTTCATATATACACAGAAATCTTTTTTTTTTGCCTAAATTCATTCATGGATTAAACGGTTAGCGCGTTCATTTATCCGTTAATTCATTATTCTCATCCATTCACCCTTCTTTCTTTACTTTGAAAAATCATCGTCATTTTACCCCCACTTTGTCATTTACCGTCATCAAATTTATTCATTCACTAGGCGATCATAAAGAATAACGCGTATTGTATTTGTGTATGAGAATTTACTTGGACTTTTTAGTTATGGTTATATCTAGATTCGTAATAGCGAACATAGTACTAATTATGATTTTTTTCTTAAATTTGTTAATATATATATATATATATATATACACACACACACACACACACACACACACACACACATCATATACACATATATATTACCATCATTATCATCACCATCACCACCATCATCATTATCACCATCATCATCATCCCAAAATATTGGTAATGCACGCGATCACTCAATAATAACCATTTAATTATTCTTTTCATCATTATCAACATCATCGTCTATAAATATATATAGAGGCGGAGTACATGTCGTTCAAAAACTCAAAGAACCAAACAGCGGATGGTTTCTTGAATCACTATGAGAATGAAACACCTGTAGCCGATTTGGTTTATTCGTTCGACTGGGCATCTACACCTCTTGGTGCTATGGACACATGGTCCACTTCGTTGAGGGCGAATGTGGTAATTTGATTTTTATTCGGTTGGAGAGGTTTTTCATGCCTGGCAACACTTGTTGTGTGGCGTAGGTGAATAAAAGAATGTGAGAAAATATTACGTTTGGAGAATTTTAGAGTCAAGATGGGTCTAGAATTTAGTCTTTCTAATTTGTGATTTCCAATTCATAATCAATCACTCCTAGGATTTAATCATGCACGCCGTATTTCCAATGGCAATATATTATGGACCGGAACACACGCTCATTTATAACCAGAGTAAGCACATGGTTTTCTGGTATATGTTCCGTGACAAATTATCACCACTATTAACATTTTTGATCTTAATAACAATCCAGTGTGGCGGCCGATTATAAAAATGAAACACCCTGGTTAGTGGTTTATTTTATTCTTCTTCATCACGTGCTTTCCGAACCTACAGTCACGTGACATAATAGACGCGTAAAATTATATAATAGCTTTGGGTAAAACGGTAAATGAAGTTTGGCCTGAAATAACTGACATAGTTAACGAGATATTTAACAAGTTAGTATTCATTAATTATGACCTGTTTCGCTATTATCGAGCCATCTCATCTCATTCAATTTTTTTGTCAATATCAAAACAACAGTGTCTATGCAACGAAAAAAGGCCGTTTCCATGAGGATCTACTATATTACCTGAATCGAGATGGATACTTGGAAGAAACATACTTTTCATTCACGTTTAGCCCTATCTTCAAGGAAGATGGATCAATCGGTGGCGTGTTTAATTGTGTTCAAGAGACGACAAAACGTGTTGTTATGACTCGACAAATAAAAGCATTGGGCGAGTTGGGACATCAGACTCCTGGTAAATCTCCATTAGTAATATATTTTTCTATGACTTATCATTTTCATCTTGATACGTTAATGCCAATTCAACAATCACAGGTGCAAAATCCATGGAAGACGCCTGTCACCTAGTAACTTCAACTCTTCGCGAACATAATGACGATATTCCATACGCGTTAATATATCTTATAGAGGACAACAACACAGAACAATACCAAAGACATTTTGCGCGTCTGGTTGCCACCACATTCGATGAGAATTTGAACCGTCAAATTCACGAGAATGGAGTCGAAGAAATGAAATTTGTGAACGGCCATTCGTCAAGAAAATTACCTGATTTCCTACCAAATACACAAAATCTCGTTGATATTACCGCTACTATAAATAAATCAAAATCAATTTTTAAGAAAAGTTCCAATATTTGTAGTAATAGTGATATCAATGGAGAAATTTCCTTTTCATTACCATCGCATCATATGGACAGCAATATAAATAATGACAATACCATATCTACATCACAAAATCAATCGTGGCCCATCCATCAAGTAATTCAAACTAAATCTCATGTTATAGTTACCCTCGCTGATGGTTCCCAGGCAATCCTGCTTCCTGTGTCGACGACTATCGGTGGAAAAAGTGTATTAACGGCTGTTTTAATATGTGGCCTTAACAAACACCGTAAACTTAATGATACTTATATGGAATTTTTGCAGGTTTGATTTTAGCTATTCATATGGATCTTTATTCATGCTTATCTAATTTCGTAAATTTATCATATGCGTAGCTCGTCGTTGGTCATGTCGGCACTGGTTTGACTCACGGACAATCTCGTGAAGAGGAAAGACGACAAACGGAATTGTTGGCTGATCTTAATCGTCAAAAGATCATGTTCTTTCAAAATATTTCCCATGAGCTACGAAGTGAGTTTCTGTTCTTTGAATTTTAGCTTTTTTTTTTTAAATCATCATTATCATCATCTTTGCTTCCTTTATTTTAGCCCCTTTAACACTCATGTTAGCCCCACTTGATGATGCAATTGCTGCATGTTCTGAACCTTCGCCAATTCTTCAAGATCTAGAAATGATAAGACGTAATGCACGACGTTTGCTGAAACTAGTCAATACTTTATTACAAGTAATTCTATTTTTTTTATATGTTTAATAACAGACTTTATTACTAATCGATCTTTCATCTTATAAAAAAAGTTTTCGCAAATTGAAGCTGGCCGTCTAGAAGCTTGCTTCTGCGAAACAAACATTGCGAAACACACTCTTGAACTGGTGTCAAGTTTTGAGAGCTTGGCGAAATCATTCAAACTGAACTTCACTATCAATATACCGAACCCTCAAGAATTTGAAAAACAATTGAAGAAAAAGACGTTTTTGGATGTTGACTTATATGAAAAAATTGTATTTAATCTTTGTAAGTCTTTAAATACACGCACTCTTCTGTCCTTGCTAATTTTATTGCATTTAGCCTAATTCGGATGGTGGATTTATTTAATAGGTTCTAATGCATTCAAATATACTTGGCATGGAGGTGTCACTGTTCGTCTATATCGAGAGATCAGAGAATCAAAAGAGGTGGTCGTCTTTGAGGTGGAAGATACCGGTATAAAAATAGTTTTTATTATCACAGTAATCACATCAAACTAAAATACTTATAATGTGAACGATTATCTAATAACACAACAGGGGTTGGCATTTCACCTGAGCATCTACCAAACCTCTTCCAACGTTTTTACAGAATAGAATCACATCAAGCACGTAGTCACGAAGGAACCGGTATCGGTCTTGCTTTAGTAAAGGAGTTAGCAAATCGACATGGTGGCGACATCGAAGTGGAATCACACGTCGACGTCGGTAGCAAATTCAGGGTCTGGATTCCGACCGGCTATGAACACTTACCTCGCAAAAATATCTGCCTTGAAACTAAAGATGGTGTTTGTCTCAACCGCGTAGAACAAATGTATACTAATGGTGATTTATATTTAGAGGAAGGTAAACAGTGGATTCAAGAGAGACCTGTGCAACAACATAATAGTCCATTGGATGAGCAAACGACAATCGAATCATTACGGTCGTTGAATATTGCGTCACCTCTTTTGGAAGGTAGACTTGCCGCAACGTCTAGCGAAACTCGTGCTTCGCCACCAGTTTTGTCTGATGAAAAGTGTGTTGCCGATTCGGACAAGCTAGCGTTCGTTCTTGTTGTCGATGATAATAGTGATATGAGGTAGAAGGGCGAATCATTCTTCTGTATTGCAGAGATTAATCATGGAATAGTAATGGTTAATAATTTACTGTTGTTATTTATTAGAAACTACCTCTCCAATGTTCTAAAAACCGAATTCGAAGTTCGCTGTGCTACCGATGGACGTGATGCGCTTAGAATAATGCAAGATGAACCTAGACGTCCGGATCTTGTGTTAAGTGGTCTGTGTTGAATTATTCGAATTAAGTCTTTTTTGTTTCGTGTGGGAATACTATCTTAAACGTTTGGAAAAATGAAAAATAGATATAATGATGCCAAATATGGACGGATTTGCGTTATTAACTTTTCTTCGATCTAATCCGGTCACACAATTGATTCCTGTGATTTTGTTATCAGCTCGTGCTGGTGAGGAGGCTAGTATTGAAGGTGGGTTAATTCCTATTTTTTTATCGCAATTATGAAAGCGTCTTTAATTCACGACACTAACGAATATATAAAAAAAATAAAAAGGATTAGGAAAAGGTGCAGATGATTATCTAATCAAGCCATTCAATGCTCGAGAATTAATCGCACGTGTCCGCGTCAACATCGAACTCTCAAGACTACGTCATGAACTGATTATACAACAAAGACGACAAACCGAGACAAAACAAATCTTATTCTCAATCAGCAGCAAAATTCGGTCCGGGCTTAATATTCAAGGAATTCTCTCAACAGCCGTCATGGAAATTCATCGCATTCTTGCATGTGATTCGTTATTGGTACTTTGTTGTGATCCGATGAATAAAGGAGTCGCGAAAATCATGGCCGCATCTTCTTCCTCACGAGATATACAATTGTTGATTGGGACACAAGTACCATGTAGAGCGATTGATGATACTCAAGACGCGTGGGTTGATCAATTGGACGTATTACCACCTCTAGATACCACAAATAAATTTTCTTTCCCTCTTTCACATAATGATTCAAATTCCATCACCACAAGTATCGGGACCACAGTTCCCAGAAGGTTAGCATTCTTGGATACAATAGATAATGACATCGAATATTTGGACTTGGAGATCGAGTGTCGCACAAATGACTTTTCTCAAGTCGTCAATAAAACGGTTTCCTCGATGTCAGTTGCAATTCGCTTAAACTCTTCATTCTGGGGCTGGATTATCGCCTATCGAAAACCAAATGAGAAATGGACAGATTCCGAACAAATGTTTATGCAACAAATTTCGAATCAAATTAGCTTGGCGATCACACATTCTAAACTCATGGAAGAGAAAATGAAACGTGAGGCACAAATGGAGGCAGCTAAAGCGGCTAATGAGGCAAAGAGTCAAATTTTGGCAAATACTTCTCATGGTAATCATTATGGTTTTTTTTTTTATTAACAATCTCTTACTTTATAATTGCATCTAATCGCTTATTATTTTTCATTCACTTATCAATAGAATTACGAACACCGCTAGGTGCAATTATCGGAGTCCTCTCAGCATTCGAAGACTCACCACTTACCCCTGATCAAAAAGACATGGTTAACATTATGACTCGTGCTTCTGATGTTGTACTTTCGGTAGTCAACGATATCTTAGACGCGGCGAAACTTGAAGCCCAAAAAATCACTTTAATGAATCGTACATTTGATCTTTTCGATCTGGTCGAGAAAACCATAGAAATTTTCGGTGAACGCGCAGGCACAAAACAAATCGAATTAGTATTACTTTTTGAGCCGACTGAATTGCCAAAATATGTGAAATCTGATCCGGAAAGATTACAACAGGTTTTGATGAATTTATTGTCGAATTCCGTAAAGTTCACCGAGTCGGGAGAAATTGTATTGAAAATCTCGTTGGCTTCGTCGGATACTCATCAAGTGACTGAAGATGGTGAAACAGGTACATGGAAGACTGGCACCTTACTCATCGAATTGACTGATACTGGCATCGGGTAAGATTTTTTTCCCGATTATATAAAACTTGCATGTATATTTGATGTAGATTATAATTAAATGTTATTGTTGTTCTAATTAGAATTGATCCAGCATTTATGAAAGACATCTGGGAAAGTTTCTCACAAGGAGATCCTTCAATGACCAGACGTCAAGATGGCACCGGTTTAGGTCTCTCAATTTGTAAACATTTAGTGACAATTAATGGAGGTGATCTGGGCGTACAAAGTGAACTGGGCAAAGGCAGTCGATTCTGGTTTACTTGGAATATCGAACCTCTTTCTCTCGCAGCCGCCCCATTGACCTCACCACCTCAACTCAATTCATCCGATGTTGGAACGAGTGCGCAACAAGCAGCGTTTGTAGTACCTGCACATGTGCATTCAAAGCGTGTCTTTGTTGTTGATTCAGTTGAAACAGCACGATCGGCTATTACAACAATGCTAAATGCGAGTGTTGAACAAGTAACAACTTTTGATGATTGCGAGCAAGCATTAACCGCCGCAAAATCGATACTTAATCAATTCAATCGAATACCATGTGATGTGATATTCTTCAACGTGACTAAAGAGAATTCCGAAAAGGTTGAAAAAACCGCAAAAGAATTCCAAGAACTATGCGGGGGAAAAGACAATATCTCTATTGGCCTAATGATATTTTGGTCCGGCGTTGGTCGTGCACTTGGCAAAGAAATGATACATCGTATTGGAGGTCACGTCGCGGCTCTTTGCAAACCTATTATGCAGCGTCGTCTACTGGATTGCTTGCAGAACACTGAAATCTTTAGGTCATCAGAATCGTCAGAACCAAAAACTGCTACATTTGCTATTAATCGGTTCCGAATCGAGGATTATTATCATCACAATAGGCCAAATTCCGAACGTAATCATCGGGAACCTTCAATAATTCGAAAGTCGAGTCTTGGCGAAGATGAGATAATGGTTACCACCTCCACTACCACTAAAGGAAATGATATTGAAGAATATATTGCTGCTAACAATAAAAATATTCTTAACAACAAAACGATATGTGAAAAGTCTAGCAGAACCGTATCCACTGGTGACATTACAAATGATAATTCAAGACTTCGGCCTCTGAATAAAAGATCAGCTTCAAGCGAGTATGATGAAGAGAGAGAATCTAATACTAAGTCGAGGACACGTATCGTGTCTCCAACAAAATGTGTGTTATGTGTCGAAGATAATCCTATCAATATGAGGGTAATTTTTTTTCTATTTAATCCATTTTTTTTTTAAGTTTGAAGGTTAATGTTAATTAAATTTTCAGGTTCTTCAACACCAACTTTCAAAACTCGGATACCAAACTTTATCGGCTACAAACGGCCTCGAAGCTGTGAATCTAGTAAAAGCTGAACTTGAAGCTTCTCAGCAAGACGGGACAACACACAAAACACGTGTATCATTGATATTAATGGATTGCGCAATGGTAAACTTTATGATTATTCCGATATGTATGTAAATATTTAAATAAACATTTGTCTAATTCGGAACAAAATTACAATTTTATAGCCAGTAATGTCTGGTTTTGACGCATCACGTGAAATCCGTTCAATGGGAATAACATCCTCGGAGATTCCAATTATTGCATTGACTGCCTATGCTGTTGAAGGCACTCGTGAAAAGTGTCTCGATAGTGGCATGAGTGATTATCTCACGAAACCGTTGAAAGTACCTGAACTTCGTGAAAAATTGATCCAGTGGCTGGGCAATGATTTTTCATCAACAAACTAACACCACCAAAAAAAAAATCATTAATCAACTCAAATACGCATCTTATCATACAAACACATAAGTATTTATTTTTTCCTCCTTTTTGTTAGAATTTTTTCTTGCTTTTTATGTAACATCACAAACTTTCAGCATAATATTTTATGCAAGAATTTTTTATTTATTTTTGTATTATAATCAAAAAAAAAAGTGTAATTTTTCTCCGCTATGATATATCCTTTTTCTTTATATTTATATGCTTTTTTGTTCCCTTCCCTTATTTTTTTAATACACACCCCTTGCAAAATCATAACTTTATCCATTTCATAACCCACCCACACGACACACTATTCGCTCCTTTTGGGAGTCATAAAAGTCAACGCCATTTTCATTTTTTGTATATATTAGAGAAAAGACTTTTTTTCAATACATGTATATATATATTTTTTATATAAAGTGTGTGGGGGGATATGTGTGCGATTGCCTGGGGAGGGTTAATTTTTAGCGTATAATATCAAAATAAGGATTTTCTAGTGTTGGATGGTCGGGTGTTCGGTAGGGTATATAGAGGTTCGCAAACTAGATACTTCGAGGTGTATATTATCAAGAGGTAGATAATGATCTGGCCAAAAATTATTTTATCATCAGAATCATCACCACTATTCTATCCATTACCAACGCACCTAATTGATATCCTCGACCCTTACCAATCAAAAAATTAATATATTCAAGGGTTAATGCCACCACCGATCCCCGACGCCGACAACCAACTACGACGCTTATATGCACCACCATGGAAAACAATAATTCATTTTAGTTTATTTTCATTGTCCATTTTTCTATGAAAAGATTGTGTTTTTAATTTCAATTTAAGCCTTTTTTACCATAGCGCTAGGTTTTTTTTTAATATGCACATATGTAAATAAGTAAATAAACAATAACAAATGCTATTTTCCTTCTGAATTTCTACGATAGGATGAACTACTCATCTCACGTTACTATCATAAAGCGCATGACTAATAAGAAAGATAATCACATTGTAATTTTGCCTATAATAAAATGACGACGATGCACAATAAATCATCTTTCTTGTTTATCTTGTTTATCCGTAGTAACCAGTAGTAGTTCAACCACACAAATCAAATATTATCGTGTTATTTCTTTTTTTTACCTAATATCATATCCTCTTTTTCAATATACCTTTATATTCTCTCTCCTTTTTAAAAAATTTTACTCCTCCTCTCTAAGTTATATATATATATATATCTTAACTAATTAACAATAAATAAAAAAAATAATAATGGCTTCACCAAGAATGACCACAACCACAACTGATGACATTATCACTAATAATGCTGCTTCCATTGCGCAAGAATTACCCTCACAACAACCAGATCAACCCATTAACGCTACAGAAATTGGGTGGCTGTTCGTGCAAGAGTATTATACCTTCATGCACAAGGAACCGAGCAGGTTGCACTGTTTCTATAACGTGAGGTCAATCTACACGACTGGCAAGGAAGGTGAAACTGTTAAGACTTGTCATGGACCACAGGTAATTATTATTATTTTTTTTTGATGTGCGTGATGGTAAAACGATGTTTTTGAGCAAGTTTAATGGAAATGCAATGGTGTTGTCAACAAAAAAGTTTTTTCGTATGAAAACATTGTCCTGCTGCGCCATTCGGTTGAAAACTGCTGCCTAGTATGTGGGCTCATGTTATATTTTAATGAATGAATCAATCAAGTATCAAATATAGTTCTAGTTATCGTGTGCGATTTCATTTCTTTTGATCCGCTGTTCATCATAAGTTTAATGGAGATTTTTACCTATTAGCAGAGAGTGTGGGAAAAAGGGTGTGAATTTCTATATTCTGGCAAATAAATGCTTTACACTTCTTTAGACATATTAATCGTTTGATTCTCGCACGTAGAATCTCTCTCTCCCTTTAACACATAAATCATCAAATATTTTTGCTAATCGACTTTTTATTCATCTATTCCCATGACTATAATTTATACGAATCATGATAGGAAATCAATAACAAGATAATGGAGCTTGGTTTGAACGATACGACTGTCTTAGTTACTAATGTTGATAGCCAAGCCTCGTTAAACGGTGGAATTGTAATTCAAGTGCTAGGACAAATGGCGAACAAAGGCGAAGAATCCCGCAAGTTTGCGCAGACGTTCTTCCTCGCGGTGCAACCGAACGGGTTCTTTATTCTGAATGATATTTTGCGATTCCTTGCGGACGAAGTAGAAGATGAAACACGCGAACCGCCAGTTGAGGATACCCCGTTGCCTGTGGAGGAGGAAACATCAGAGGAGAACAACAATGTGGTTCTTCCTGAAGAGAAACCATTGGGTGAAGAATCAAATTCACCTACCGGAACTCTAGTAGATGAACCGATCAACGAAAATACTCATGTACATCATAACATCCAGCTTCAAGATAATGTTGCTGTTGATAGTCAACAACAAAGTGATCACCCAGCTGCTGAGGAACCAGCTCCTGATACTGTTTCAGTCTCACCTCCAAAACCAGCCGAACAGATCCCAGAGCCTCAACCATATGTTTTATCAAGTCCCCGTACACAGGCTATTGATCGCGCCGTCTCACCTAAAAATCAGGGAACATCGGCAACTCCTCAACCCGCTGTTACCTCCCCGAAAAACATTATAGCTTCTCAACAAAATACCTCTGTCCAGGCTGCTACGGATCAAACTCAAATTCAAGCGTCGGCCAATAAGTCTCCTAAAGCCGTTCAAATGAGTCCGCCGACCAAGAATAACAATGTTAATGGTAATCCAAAACAAGTTCCACAAAATACCAATACTCCATCAACTACCACGGCCGTTAGTAATGTTCCTCAGGCTGCACCTGTTCAACCAGCTGCTGCTCAAGCGAATAATGCTGGTCATCACTACAATAATGAGACTTCCTCAAATCAACAACAGCACTCCAGTGAACAACTACAAAAAAGAGCTGGTTCTTCACAACAATCTTCCACTGTTAATGAAATATCTGCTCCTACGAAAAAGACTTGGGCACATTTGGCCGCAAATGATCGTGACAAGTGGAATAATCAACTTGCTCCGGTTTCTGCTCATGTCTCGTCTGCTCCAGTTCAAACTTCCAAACCACAACAACAATCCATGGGACAATCTGGTCGCGATCAGATGAACCGGCGTCAGGAAGGTCAAAGAGGAGGTAAATATCTTTTTTATTGTGCCTCTTCATTCATTTGTGTTAAATAACTTATCAATTATTAATTTTTAGACCCTCAATTGTCAATCTACATCAAAAATGTGAACGATACTATGTCTTATGAGCAACTTAGAATTGCATTCACTCAGTTCGGACCACTCAAAAACCTGGATGTTGTTCATCAAAAGGTAAGAAGAAAAAATCATAATCATTTATTCTTCGTATAAAAATTTCTATAAATTTAATGTTAATTCTATATTTTAGAGTTGTGCTTTTGCAGAATACACTACAGTGGAGGCTTGCCACCGAGCCCTGCAGGCTCGTCAGGTAACAGTTGGAAATTCGTATGTAATTACCGAAGCTCGACGCAAACCTACTGGTCAACGGAATCTTTCTGATAATCGTAACCAAGGCGGATATCAGAGAAACTCTTATCAAAATCAAAATGGAATGAACAATCGTCAAGGAGGGCGACAAGATCGTCGAAACTCTGCCACCCACGTAAAGCAGTCACCATAATCTCCCTAAAAACGATAATTTGCAATATGATAGTAATGTCTACCCATTGGATGTTTCTCAAGAAGTGTTGGTTGCCATCATTTAAAATATTAATAGAAAGTGGATTAATTACATTGTAATCCACTTTCTATTCTTCTTCATTTTATTGTTAAACCTTATGTTGTGAAAAAAACTTATTTACCTCTCTCCCATATGTGTAGAAATATATAAACAAACATTTTCTTGTATAATTTTTCTGTTCTTCCTCCTCTTTGCTACCTTTCCCTTTCCCTTTCCTTTCCCTTCCCTTCCTTCCTATATATGATATTACCTTTCAAAAATAATATTAATGGTATATATAAGCCTAGGATGAACTATTATCTCTTGTTGATTATTATTATTACAGATTATATATCGTGATGGTAATAATAATAATGATTATATAATATAGTTCTCGTTAGCATTTCATACCTACAAAAGTACATTTTTATACTTCATTAATTTTCACCTTTTTTCACCTTTTTTAATTTGTAAATATTCTTACTGATTATAATTAGCGTTGTTTTTTACACACATATTCCCTTACACTTCATTTCCCTATTTACACGTGACGCACTACTTATAATGAACATTATTATAGTATGTGCAATAAAATAATAACTTTTTTTACCCATAGAAGGTTTTATTAGTTTGTGATAGGATAAAATAGCAGTTAGAATTTTTTTCCAAACAGTATTATAATAATAATAACAATTATGTAAGATGAGCGCACGTGTACACTTTCACATGATTGATCACAACGATTTACACAATGACCATTAAGATATATATCTTTATTTATTATAAAGTTGCCTGCCAAACTCATGTTTCTGACAGGTCTTCGAAATTATATTAATAAATCAAAAGTTCAAAATATATTGAGACATATAACTCGATTTTAACATTAGGGCAACTTTGCTTATTTTTGGGGGGGGAATCTATCGTTTGTGTGCCAGGGTTGGTGGCACAGCCCGAAAAATCTTTGAAGTGAGATCAAAAATTGTGAGGGAAAATCTAATACCCTAGAAAAGTTACTGTCACCTGATGACGATCATATCCGACCAATGAGAATGCGCGAACGTTTTGCACAACCAATAGGAATGCAGCCAATTTTTTTGATCAACCGCTAATCCATTGTTCCGCAATTAGCAGGTTAAAATTTTCTTTCGTGGTTAACGTTAACAAGTACAAAGTCCAAATATGATATCGAAGTTCTGATTGGTTCAGAGATCAGGTTTAGAATTAAGTTGAATTTAAAGAAAGTCTATACGTAAAATTGTCTTCCCGACATTTTTAATTAATACCGGATTTATTTTGCCGGGTTGATCAAAAAATTTGTGCTTTGTAGTTGCAGTCAGAATCAAACTATTATATGATTGTCAAAAAGATAATGAATACTGCAAAATATCACAAAATGAATTTATAATGACAATCTAAAATATGGACATGCGATCTCTGTAAAATCCAATTACGAAAAATTTGACTTGGAGTCAAAATTAAGTTATTTACGTTTATTTTCTTTGTCCTAAAAAAAATTCACAGAGGAATTTGTGCATCGTAACTTCATCCTAGAAATATATTATTAATGCCTCAAATTGCTGATTTTGACTTAGCATTCAAGCGGATATAGAAAACCTAAACAAGAAATTTGTGGAATACTTCCTTATGAGTCCAGAGGTGCTAAATAGAAAGCCATACACTAACATTGCAGATATTTATAGCTTTGTGATGATTGTATACGATGTTGTAACTGGTGAACGACCTATACATCTCGTATACAGATCTTCCCGGACTTTATCAGATCTATCTACGAAGACGACTATATCAATTATAGTTGGTGAAAACCGAATACTTTGCATTTTCAGTTCTACAGCTCTTTAGATTATCAAAGAGTATGTTTTACTATAACAGCAGAAAAGTAAAGAGATAAAAAATGGAAAAATTGATTCTTTTAACAAGAACAAAAAAAGGACAAATCCATCCAAATGCAATTTACACAATGAACGTTACCACGAAACTTTTTTCAATTCCAACTCCTGGTACAGTAATCTAATACTAATCATAATTGACTTTTATATTCATTAAAAAATTATATTGAATATTAAAATTACACAAGTGTCCGTTTATATGTTCCATACGAAGGTAAAAAATTATGTATGTTTTTCATTGATTTTTTTAATTCAGCATCTTTTCTTGATCTGGAGAATGAGGATGTGTCGAGTGATTTGCAAGATAAACACGAACAAAGTGATTTCTATTTCTTTGCATACGCGCATATATTTATTTTTTTGATCCCTTAAGATATGTTTCATCGTTTTGTTGTCTTCCTTCGCCATTTTATAGTTCTTCTTTACTCCTATATTCTCTTAGCAGTTAAATAAGTTTACTGTACCTTCGTTCGTTTTCGTTTTCTTGTTTTTATTTGATTGTTGTCTTCGTTGTCGTTTCCGGCGTTGCTGTTGGTTTCTTTCACCACCAATGTCGTTAATTTTTTCCGTATTAGCACTGGTTTGTGACCTAACCCTGCGGTTCTTGAGGAACGAAATTCCCCTGGGATTAAGATCCCACGTTTCTCTTAATTCAAGAGTGCTGACAGCATGCTTCTTTCCATGCTTCTTTCCATATTTGTTGTGATTAATTTTGAGTCAATCTTTATCCTAATACATCAAATTTGACACCATTGGACATACCGCAGCTTGGATTGATTTTGTGATAAACTTGCGCAGGCGCACGTTTAAGATAACATTGATCATCTTAGTATTCGAGATTAGCATTCTCAGTGCTTTTTCAGAGTCATGTTGGGTATCCATAAAACTCGGTTTTACCCGACGGCTTAGCTTCTGGGATTTATATCAGCATAACAGAGTGACGATTACACCTAGAAAAGAGGAGGATTTCTTGGATGCCAACTCACAACACTTAGCTCTCTCGGTATGGTACCCAAAGGCCAGCAACCAATCAATGCTGTAAAACCTACCTAAAAATCTTAAAACTTTTTTAAACCCGTATGTGCACTCCGAGTAATAAGCACCCATCAGGTTGTTTCATTATGTCAATTAGGAGTTTGATTGAAATCTCGTTTAGTTAAAACTATTCTTTTACCAGACTTAGCAATTATCAAGAACTAGATACAAGGCAAACTCGTTAAGACGAAGCCACGCTAAGCCAAAATTGCATTAAGCCGAAGTTTTTCTGGTTTACCGAATTTTTATTATATAAATTCGGCTTAGTACGAAATTTAGTAAAACGAAAATCTCGATAAGCCGAATAAATTGCCTCTGCCCCCGATCTTCGTCTTATCGAGTTTGCCATGTATTGTGATCAGGTCAGTAAAATCCACTGGTCTGTTATGCTCACTATAGGGAGCTTTATATAGAAATTCAATATCCATGCAATCTTAACATTCAGATTAGTTTATGTTCAGGTAGGCTGCAATGTTACTTTGAATTTCAACTGTATCTTTGGTTTAGTTATGTAAAGTAATATTATCTTCAAGTTCTTATAGTAGAGAATCACTTCTAATAGGATAGTTACTTTTATTTCATCAGATTTATCTTAGTAAATCACTCATTACTTTCAAACTTTTGAATTTATTGGTCTATTTCAAATATTTTTCAGGCTATTTTCCAGTCTTAAATAAGAGAAAGAAATTATTATCTATATAGTCTACACAAATAAATATAAATTGGATCTTAGCTAATTATTGCAATTTAATTATGACTTATTATTTTATTAGACTCTAACAATATCTAGAACATGAATTTGATGGTATAATCTTTAATAATTAAATTATTATCCTAGTAAAAAATAATATATTTTATATTCAATTCATAGAATAATTAAGTAATATAATAATTCTTATTTTTATAATTATTAAATTAAAATTGTTATATCATATTTTTATATTATATTAAGAATACTATATTATATTATTAAGAAAATATATAATTTAAATAAGTTATTATTACTATAATAAGCTTTCTTCTTAAAAATTCTATTTGATCTTATTATATATATTTTAAATTAATTTATTTTATTTTAATATTATTTATTTATAATTTTTATTTTTATATTTATTTAATTATTAATTAATTAATAAATATTATTAATAAGTAATTATATAATATTAATAATTTATATAATTATAAATTATTATTTAAAAATATTCTTTTTATTTAATATTTTTAATAATTATTTTAATATTAATAAAATAAATTATTAAGTTATAAATCTGAATTAAAACTATTTATTTTTAATTTTTAATTTATATAAATATCTTGTTAAATTCTAATTTATAATAAGAAGACTATAAATAAAATAAATTAAATAATTAACTAAAAATTAAATAAAATACTTTTCAAATATTTATCTGATTATAAATTTTCTTTTTTATTAATTATATTTTTTAATATAGTAAATATTTATTAATACTTATATTTTATTGAAAAATTAATAGATATGAATAATTATAGAAAGAAATTTTTAATTTATCAAAGTATTAAAAATATATACTAGATTAATAAAATCTTAGCTATCTAATAGAGTAAATTGTATTACTTTTATTTTATTTAATATATTATATAAAATAAATATATATTAATAAGTTTTTAATCTATAAATCTTCTTTAATCTTTATTTAAAATAAAAATAATATATTTTAGTGATATTAATATTAACTAATTTTGCTTTTAAGTTATATTATTAGATATAGATCTATTAAAATATAATTATTAATTATTTCTTAATTATTTTTAATTTATAATTTTTATTTCTAAAAATTATACTTTTTAATTTTTTAATTATAAAAAAATAAAATCAAGTTTATTTTTTATTTATTAGATTTTTCTTATAAAAGTAACAATTAAATATTTTAGTAATTTAATTATTTTGAAAGTAAAAATTAATTATATATTATATATAATCAGATAATATTTTCAAGAATAATATTATATAATATATTAAATTATAATAATAATCTAAAA